CTCTCCTCTTGCTGTCATCTGCATTCGTGCTTCCCACCTGTCGTTGGCATGTCCTTTACCTTCTCTTTCCCTGCCACCTCAACCTCCACACTGACTCATCATCGTCTTGGAAGATGTGGAAGATGTCAAGTTTGTGATCAACTATGACTATCCGAACAGCTCAGAAGATTATGTGCATCGCATTGGCCGTACGGCCCGGAGCACCAACAAGGGCACTGCCTATACCTTCTTCACCCCTGGGAACCTGAAGCAGGCCAGAGAGTTAATCAAGGTGCTAGAGGAAGCCAATCAGGCCATCAATCCCAAGCTGATGCAGCTGGTGGACCACAGAGGCGGTGGCGGCGGAGGGGGTAAGGGTAAGTCCTGGAACTCTCCAGGTACTACCAAGGTCTCGCTGTGCGCATCACACCTTGTTTAATGTGACATTTAATAATAAGGGCAGCTTTTCATGGTTTTTCTTCACCTCTTGACTTACAAATGTAAGAAAACAGGACATTTTAGGAGTTTGTAGTATTGTCCTGCTTTTGTAGATAATATAAAACTGATCTTTGAAGTACACAGTGAATGTTCAAAATTAAGTTGAATTTTAATGTCTTCAGAAGGCTTACTACGTAGTCCACATTTGACATTTCTTCTGATGAGAACAGTCATTTCACACCATCTTGTAGTATAGAACCTTGGCTGTGAACTGTATTAGGGTCTGAGTTCTGTGGTTCCTAATTTGGTAGTTTGTTGTTTTTACTTCCAACTTCCATGTTGAAACTGTACATCAGAATCACCTGAGAGGAGGTGAAAATACAGGTGGCTGGAGCAAAAACCTGAGCTTGTACATTTGTGAGGTGATTCTGATGAAGCTAGGCTCCTAAAGCAACCCTGGAGACCCAAAACTACTCTGAATTTATATGCCTTTTTAAAAAAAAACAACTAGTGATAAGTTGCCTGCACCTCTTTTGCCATAAAATTTTTTAAGGGTGTGAAGTTAAATTTTAAGTAGTTGAGTATGTAGTCTTAAAATTTACTACAATTGGATATGCAGAGCCAGAGAATCAAATTAATGGATTTATGTCTAGAGCTGACTTAGCTTAAGGTCAGGAAAGACTGTTGAATACTTAAAACATTCAGTCGAGTTTTTACTTCCATGTTTGAATCATGGACTTGGCATTAAAAATTCCATATGTTGTTTCATTAGGAGGTCGTTCTCGATACCGGACCACTTCTTCAGCCAACAATCCCAATCTGATGTATCAGGATGAGTGTGACCGGAGGCTTCGAGGAGTCAAGGATGGTAGCCGGAGAGACTCTTCAAGCTACCGGGATCGGAGTGAAACCGATAGAGCTAGTTATGCTAATGGCAGTAGCTATGGCAGTCCAAATTCTGCCTTTGGAGCACAAGCAGGCCAGTACACCTACGGTCAAGGCACCTATGGGGCGGCTGCTTATGGCACCAGTGGTTATACTGCCCAAGAGTATGGTGCTGCCACTTATGGGGCTAGTACCACCACCACAGCAGGGAGAAGTTCCCAGAGCTCTAGCCAGCAGTTTAGTGCTATAGGCCGCTCTGGGCAGCAGCCACAGCCTCTGATGTCACAACAGTTTGCACAGCCACCAGGAGCTACCAATCTGATAGGCTACATGGGGCAGACTGCTTACCAGTACCCTCCCCCTCCTCCACCCCCTCCCCCTTCACGTAAATGAAACCACTCAAGTGGTAGTGACTTGTGCAGACTTAATATCACATGTAAGGGACTCTGTCCTCCTTTTTTCCCCCCTCTTCTCTCCCTCTTTTCTTTTATTCCTTCCCCCACCCCAACCATTGTGATTTGTCATTCAAGCAGATTAGTTAGAATTCACTGCCAGGTTTCTTCTGCCTGCCAAAATGATCCAGTCTGTAATAACAGATTTTGTAAAAGATATATATATATAGCTGACTGGAAGAGTTGATTTTCTTTCCCAACTTCTTGCATGTTGAGGATATTTTTCATCTTAAAAGACAAGGTATTAGGCCCTTTTATGGGAGCCCATTTTTTGTTGTCCTGAGGGGGTGGGAGTTGTGGGGGGGTCAGAAGGCTGAACTGTTCTACAGAAGACACGGCATCTGTGCTGTGAAAATCACTCTCACTGCTGGAGGGCTGTTCCTGTTCCCATCTTCCATGATGCGGTCTGCTTCTCCAACTGGAAGAGAGTGCTCGGGTCTGCAGATATTTTTAAGACAGTGCTTGTCATTGTCATTTTTTGGCGGACTGCTTGTTTAAGTGCATTTGACCGTTTTTTTAAAAATTCCTAATTGGTTTGTCTCTTACTCTCCCCAATTTACTGAGAATTTAACCATTTGAGTGTCAGAAATGGATTAGCTGAGTATTTTAATTTAAGAGTGTTTTAAATGAGAACCACAGTGTTTACTGCAGTGGTTAAGCTAGCATCTCAGCCTCTGAGTGGAAGCTGCCTTATTCCAACCCCCGATCAAACCAGGGACCATCTGTGAAGTTCATTTTCCAGTCAAACAGCAGCTGTGAACAGAGTGAGCATAAATGCTCATTGGAAATTGGCTTTATTAACCACTTGTCTGTGCATTCATCTGCACTGTAAAAAGCACCTAATTATAAAAAAATATACTCCAAACAGGCAGATTTTTATTTTTAACCTCAGTATTTGTAGAGCTAGAGTGAAAGCAAGTCTTTATCAGCTACTTGGCCTTTTTTGCCAAATTATCTTGAACAAGGAGCCTTAAGGGTTTGTTAGGGACTCTTCATCCCATTCTCTGCAGCGCTTATAATGGCCTCTGGGTGCAGAGTTCCCCTAGCATCCTTTACACTCAGCTTTTTGTAGTCAGGTTAGGGAGGGCTCAAGTTAAAGTCCTTCACTTTGCCTCCATCTGAAGGTTGGTTAGTTTGCCCCATCATAGTTCCTGGGAAGCCTGTAAGGCGTCTTATGGTCTTAAGTTCACTGGACTGGACAAGGGAGGGCAGCCCTAGAAACTTTACGGCTCCAGTGAGGAACTACTAATTTTTTTCTTTTAGTTTTCTTGTCTCAGTCTTGTTCACAATGCAGTTCAAGGGGGAATGCTCCACTGCGAAGCTTTGGCTGAGCCACAGGGTGCTAATTGTAAGATCAAAATATTGGAGTACTTGAGGTGTGTTTTCGTTTTTGTTTTGTTTTTTCTTCACTTTTAAAATTCTTCAGGGAGAGAAAGGATGGTTTCTGAGGGGTTCTGAAAGTATGGTTGAATATTCAGCATACAGGTAGGTTATCAGCATAAAGCTATATTCTGTGCATGTAAGAGCTTTGATACCATGCCCCCCTCCTTCCTTCCTTTCCTCTTCTTTAACTTTTTATTTTCCTCATCTTGTATAAGTTGAGGCTGGGAGGATGGTAGGCATAGGAAAATGGGGCAAAACTGCTGTGTGCTTCCAAACCAAAGCATCAACCCCACCTACAAATTATTTTTTGCCTAAGCACTGACCAGCCCATTAAGGACATAATCTCTCTACAACCAAATTCTGGTTCTTCCCCCCACACCACCCTTCTTAGGGTCCTACCTCTCATAAAGAGGTGCCACTAGGGGACACACTTATCTCCTACAGCTCTTAAAAGCATCCTTTTGGGGGCAAGGGTCTCAAGGTGATCAGGTGGTCTGTGGGCTGTTGTGCTTCCCTGTTTCCATCAAGAACATTATAAACATAAAACAACTCAAAGCTACCGTGGCCTGAGCACAGTGGAAGTCTCGCAAGTCTCTCCTCCACTGCTCTAGATCCCTTCTGCATCTGTACCTGTTGCTCATCATTCATATTCTGCTATTGCTGCAGAACACGAGCAGAAGAAACCCCATTTGATGATGGTTACTGCGTTCATGGGTTGAAAGGGATTCAGTGAGCTCTGGGCTGCTGTCCCCCACTCCCTCCTTAACAAAAACGCCTTGTGTGGACTTCTCTCATCTAAAGGTTGGTGACTGCTTGGGATCAGTGCTTTCTCTCCATGCCCTTGCTGGTCTCAAACACATTCCTGTTGTGTTACAACTTGAATTGGAAGATTTGTAGGTGTGTGCTATGCAGGCACAGGATGCTAAGAGCTATGTTACAATTCTTAAGTTTGTAAATTGTCCTTTTGATACCATCTTGTTTTCTTTTGTAGGTATAAATAAAAACACTGTTGACAATAAAATGACTTTCATTGCTTAAAAATTTTTAATTGCCTAAAATGTTATTGCTGAATAATAGAAGTCCAGAAAAACGGTAGTCATGACAGCTTGTTTCAAAAGACCAAGGTTGGGAATGTTGGTTTGACTGATCACCTTGGTTAGCACCTGAAACTGAAAGGAGTAAGCTTGCTTGGTCCTAACAGAATGCGAGTCTGGAAGCCACAAGGCTAGATAGCCAGTAGAGAAAGGTCTTGTGTATCTTTATCTTATCTCATGAGTAAACTAGTTGAGGGGACAGATGGCACACACCTAGCATTATAGAGAGTTGCAGGGCTGCTTAGAACCCTTGGTGTGAACCATGGAACAAAGCACACCTCTTACAGATGCGCCATGTGAAACTACTTGTTGGGTTTGCTGTGATGAAGGCAAGGTACTAGTGAACTGACATTTCACACCTGTTAGCTATTACCTTAGTATCTTGACACCCTAAAATTGCTCTCATACCTGGAAGTGAAAATGCCCAGAACAGTAGGCTCTTTATGTATGGACTTCCAACTTCAGTTAGGGTGCGTTCTCCTCTTGACACTGGGTCAGCTGTCCAGACTGGTGGGGGGGGGACTTCCTTAAAACCTACATTTTGCACAGAAGCCTTGGAGACTACCACCTTTAGACTTTGTGCTGGTGCAGCCGGTACTGAGGCAGCATAATTGTCTAACTGACCTAGCTTATCGGGAGATCTTATTGATGACAGTCTTTGAGAGAGTATAATCAGTACTCAGCATTCTTCTGGCCTTAATTTGAACATTTGAGCTCAGTCGTGGATAAGTCACCAAGGGAAACATCTGAAATGGCTTATTCCATGTACTGTTGAGGTGTAGGACATCACTGAGAGCCCTCAAATTGGCATTGGAAGACTTAACTTCTTTCCTTTAAGGACTGGAAGAAAATGGAGATGAAATGAGAATTCACTGTACTGATGATGAAAGACTAATCTTCATGTCCCTACTGCCCAGCTCACAAGTGGTGAAGCTAAAGGGGATACCTGCTGTGGGTAAACTCCACTCTGACCCCCATCTTGCTTACTGGCACCAGCACCCTCCTCGGTTGCCCTCCAGTGAAGGACTCCTTTGATGACTAGTAACTTGCCCTTGGGAATCTATATAATCCAAAGCCCTTTCCCTGGAATGCAGTCCTATGTGAACTAGGATGATCTCTAACCTCTCCCAGTGTCTGCCTGGATTGACCATATTAGTCTTTTTTGTTTGATCACACCAAACTGGTTTCTGCTTTGGAATCTGCATAAGTTGTTCTCTTTGGAATGTTTTCCTATCTGCCTAAGCTTTGAAGAATTAGCTCAAATGTCTCATAGCTACCGTTGCTGTATACAGTCGTGTCTACGTGGTACACATAATAGCCTATTGGGCCTGCATTTTATGGTATTTTGTTTCCTGAAGAGCTCTTCCTTACTTGAGTGAAGCATTACCAGGGGCAAGGACTTGGCCTTGTTTGCCTCCCTGTCTCCAAATATTTAAAAATTGGATGTATGAGTAACTGGGCCTCTGTCCGCAGTCTTCTCCCATGCACCTACCTTTGGTAATGTACAAGTAGAAGAAGTCACAATAGAAGATGGTTTGGACTACTCCAGACACCACTGCAATTTGGTCGTAGAAATTCTCTGTCTGATACCGGCGGATCCAGTTAGCTAAGTAGAGTGCCCGGTACAAGCCCAGAAAGAACAGGTAGTGAGTAGTAATGGTCTCGGCCTCTCCAGTCTTGCTGATCATGAAGAGCTGAGGCAGGATGGCCACGGATTCCAGGTAGATGGAGAAAGTCCAGAGGATCTGAGCCAAAGAGAAATGTTGCCAGCCAGTAATTTAACTACAAATTTGAATCATTAAATTACTTACTAGAGAAAACAGCTAAAAGCACATACCAAAGAAATATGTAAATACAAAACAGGTTTCATTTTTAACAAATTGAACATACCGTTTATGCTGCTTTTTATAAAACAGAAGGAACATTTCTCTGGAATATACTTAGTAAAGTAGTAGAAGAGTATTGTATGAAATCACTAATTGATGCCATGAATACCTGCATTAGTCTCCCGAGATGCTTGTGAGAGCACATTCCTGGGCCAGAGCTAGCTAGAAATCAGTCTCTTGTTCTGGACTACGTGCACACTACCTGTGGGCCATAAGGTCTCAATAGCCAAAAGGGGCCCTGTGCTGCCAAAGCATTTAGGAACACCATGAATGTTCACATGTACTCATTTTCAAATGGAGTGCTGTGAATAGCTTGTCAATTTCTTTGACGCATCATTGAATAACAGGAGTACATGAAGAACGGTCACGGTTGTAGCAGACAGGAAAAGGACTGGCTGGCATTACCAAGAGCCCAGGGAAGGATGTTAGGAAGCAAACTTACCTTTGGTTATTAGTACTCTTGGTCCCTTCCCTTACCTCCAGGGGGGTGAAATTGTAGTTCTCAAGGAAGGAGAGGCCAATAACTGGGACCAGGAGAAACTCCAGGCGGAACGTGTCATTCTCACTGTCAAATGTTTTCCGAAATTTCCCATAGATCATGTATACTGTGAGATAGGCACAGAGGAGGAAAACCACCTACACAGGGAGAAAGACACATGCCAATCGATGAGTTGTTTCCCAGGCTCTGAGCTGGACTTGAGCTAGCCACCCCAAGTAGGATCCTGCAGACCTAAGGACCAGTGCTATGCTGTGCATGGAAGAGGTGGGATGTGTTTGGGTCTGTGCCTCCATGCCTCTGACTGGGACTGATGAGGCCCTGCTACCTCCTCCATCTGTGAAGCATGAGGCAAAACAAAACCAGGCGTGGTCTTTGCTGGGACATTCAGCAGTGGCATTCCAGGGCTCTTGCCTCAATTGTCTGCATCTGCAACAGTGACTTGTGAGCTCCTGGAGTCAGCTGACCAGCCTCCTTTAGAAAGCTCTGTTGTCTCACTACAGTAGCATTCCTTCCAACATAGGATCCTTAGGATCTGGCCTCTAACCTTCTAGGCCAGAGGTTCTCAAACTTGAACATGTTTTGTAATCATATATGCATAGCTGTCTCTTACCTGTCCCCAAGTCCCCTTCAACTCCCAGAATTCCTGATTTCGTAGGTCTGGGTGATCCTGAGAATTGACAGTTCTGACACATTCTCAGGTGTTGCTAGCCCAGGACCACATTGACCCACGGAACTCAGTTGGACCTGAAGACTCGCTTAAGAGGCCCTCGGAGAAGTGTTTTCTCACCAGAATGAAGGACAAATAGTGACTTCAGCCCCTGATCACATGTTCTAAAAATGTCTCTGGACAAGTCTGTCTTTCCTACAAATGAGTCCCTGAGAGCAGAGCTCATGTCCTGGCCACCGTGGAATCCTCAGGCACAAAGTATTGCTGGGATGAAATGAAGGACCTCTACAGGAAGAGTGGAGTCCTGACAAGGCGCTATGGACTGCAAAGTTGGCTTGATCCACAAGGTCACCGGTTCAAGCTCACCAGCTGCTCCTTGGAAACCCTATACAAGGTCACTATGAAAGGACACTTAACAACATGGGAAGGGTGGGAATGATGTCTTCATTCTTTCAGGTTCCCAGACCTCATTCAGCCATGCCAAGGGCTGGTTCTGCCAATCTCCACCAGGACTACCCAACACCAGGTCCTTAGAGAAATAAACTAGGCAGGTGGTGGTTGATATGTGTGTTGAATTGAAGTAGACAGTGATTTCAGAATCAAAACCTGAAGTCATATCTAACAAGTTTAATACCCCACAAGTCCCAGCATCTTCTGTTCCTCCAATCCTAGGAATAAGATGCCTGGAATCCCAACAGTTCTGCAAGAGAGGTAACCTCACACATTTCTTCCTTAGAAATGTTAAGTGCTGCTGGTGGTGGTGGTGGCTGTGTGCTGTGGAGTCGGTTTCGACCCATAGTGACCCTGAACAGGGTTTCTGAAGCTGTAAATCTTTACGGGAGCAGAACACCTCAACTTTCTCCCACGGAACAGCTGGTAGTTTCGAACTGCTGATCTTGCGGTTTGCAGCCCGATTCGTAATCACTATGCTACCAGAGCTCCTTTAAGTGCTGCTGAGTTGGTTCCAATTCATAGCAACCCTGTATAGGATTTTGAGGAGCAGCTGGTGGGTTTAAACCGCCGACCTTGAGGTTCAAACCAACCGTGCAACCCAGTGCTTACCCTAGAGCACCACACCTTGTAAACAGGACTCCTAATTTATTGGGAGTGGCAGTGTGTCCAATTAAAAACTACATTTCTCAGCCTACTTTGCAGGTAAGAATGGTCCAAAACAAAATCAAACCCACGGCCATCAAAATGACTTAGAGTGACCTCATAGGACAGAGTCTGGTACCCAAGACTGCAGGTATGGTTTCTAAGGTTGCAAATCTTCACAGGGGCAGCCAGCTTCATCTTCCTCCTGCAGGGCAGCTGGTGGACTCAAACTACTGACCTTACAGTTAACAGCCCAACATTTAACCCGCTGTGCCAACGACGGTCAGTGAAATGGAAATGGAAGTCATTTGGAGAAGACCCTTTTCAAAAGGATGCCCATCTGACAGGCATCCTATTGCTCTTTTCTCCCTTCTTCCTCATTCTTCCTACCCAGAATATGATGTGATGCTAATAGGTCTAGCACCTGCATTGACCCTGGGGCAACCTTTAGGATAAATGTCACCTTCAGGTTACACAACTTGTGGGACCCAGTGCAAAGTGAAAAGACAGGGCTCTTGTTAAAACATTCTTAGGAATTTCACTTCATAGGAGAAAGATGTGGTTATTTGCTCCTGTGAGGATTTGTTACTGTTAAGTCCTGTCTAGTCAGTTATGACTCATAGCTACCCTGTATAGGAGGTGATTTTGCAGCAGCTGGTGATTTTGAACTGCCAACCTTGTGATTCAGTGCTTTTACGACCTTTGAAACCCTAGGGAACAGTTTACTAGGATCACTATGAGTTAGAATCAACTTGATGGAAGTGAATTGGGTTTGGTTTTTTGGTTTGGTTACCAGCATCCAAGCAGAGTTACTGCCCACCTTACTGATTCCAAAACCCTGGTTCCTTCATCAAAACAATGTCACTTTCAAGGGCCAGGGGAATTGATTGAAAGCTCAGATGACGCCTCAGTCCAAAATATTCTGTCTATGGCCAAAAAAGGTCCAGGGCATCTGGCTGGAGCTCAGAGAAGTTCAGTTTCTCCTGTAAAACAGGGACATGCTTCAAAGCCAATGGCTTCCCACTAAAGTGCAAATGAAATCCAAATGGTCTAACCTGACTCAGGAAGCCCTACACTACCTGTCCTCACCACCTCACCCCTGAGCTCCTTCACCACTGGTCTTCTGTCTGGCCTTTGAATATGCGGATCCTGTCCTGGCTTAAGTCTTGTCCCCAGCTATTCCTTCTGATTGGGATACGAAATGTTCCTCTTGACCTGCGCATGGCTACTCATTTCTGTCACTCAGATCTCGGCTTCAAATGTCACCTCTTCAGAAAGGCCCTTTGGGATCACACTCCCTGAAGTAGCTCTCTATTCTTCAGATTGTTTTTTATGGAAGTCAACATTTTAATTATTTGCACAAGCTAACCCGTAACCACAAGGTCCCAAGGTGGCACAATTATTAAGCATTCTGCTGCTAACTGGAAGGTCTGCAGTTCGAACCCACCAGCAGCTCAGACCTGATTATCTGCTCCCATCAAGATTATTGTTGTTGTTGTGGTTATGTGCCGTGGAGTTGGTTCTGACCCATAGCGACCCTGAACAGGGTTTTCCGAGGCTGTAAATCTTTATGGGAGCGGAAAGCCTCATCTTTCTCCTGCAGAGCAGCTGGTGGGTTCGAACTGCTGACCTTGTGGTTCGCAGCCCGATTCGTAACCACTACGCTACCAGAGCTCTCTAGATTACAGCCTAGGAAACCCTATGAAGCAGCTCTACTCTGTTCTATAGGTCGTTATGAGTACAAGTCAACTTGGCAGCACACAGTAACAACCCCTGACCAAAGTTTTTCTTGTTTGTTTGATTCTGTCTTCCCCATTAAGTGCCATCAAATCTGTTCTAACCCATAGCAACCCTGTATAGGGTTTCCAAAGAGTGGCTGGTGAGCTTGAACCACCAATCTTGTAGTTCAAACCGACTTTGCAGTTCAGCACATTGACCCACAGCACCACAACAGGACTGCATCTTTCCCATTAGAACATGAGAAAAGGAGCTCTGTGTATGTTTTTCAGAATGGTGCCTGGCACACAGTAGATGCTCAATAAATATCTGTTGGGTGGATGGCTAGATGGATGGAAAGATAAGTAATTCTCTAAAAGTTAAGGATGTCATAGTTACTATTCTGCTATTTTTGACTCATTAAAATGACTAACTTTTATTAAATGTTTAATCTTACAATAGTTATTCGTACATTTACATTTATGAGCTCTGGTAGCATAGTGGTTACGAATCGGGCTGCTAATCTTACTGGTCAGCAGTTCGAAACTACCAGCTGTTCTGCGGGAGAAAGATGAGGCTTTCTGCTCCCGTAAAGATCTACAGCCTCGGAAACCCTGTACAGGGTCGCTATGAGTCGGAACCGACTCCACAGCACATAGCAACAACAGCCTCCTTTACCGATCATCACAAAACCCTCTGAGGTCCCAGTATCCATGTCCGTGATGAGGAGCTGGAGGTATACGGCTGCTCAATGTCAATTCAAACCCATACCCAGGTGCCCAAGTACACTCTTTCTCAGTCTGTGGGTGCTTGGCAGGCCCCACCACCATTGTCCCCCAGCCTCCTCACCTTCATAACTGAGTTGTAGATGGAGATGAAGTTGGTGAAGAGGTCCAGGTACCTGGTGGTGAAGACCAGAGCAAAGAGGATCTGGCTTTTCCCAGAGATGCCTGTGGCCAGAGGAGACAGAAGACAATGAGGACAGATTCCCAGGCCCACCCACATTCCAGAAACTCAGAGCCTGGGGCTGGAAAGGCCTGGGAGTATCCACTCCCACTTAATGAAGACACCCTATCCAGGGGACAGGAAGCTCATCCCTTTCCAATGGATCCTCTCATTAAGCTGTAATCTGTCTCCCAGTCTCCAAATAAAGATATGAACATTGAGTTCCCAGTCCTCCTGCAAGCGCCTGCCTCACTTCTTGCTCTGGGGAGGCTGTCGGGGTGGTGTGAGTCGAGCTGGGGGTGGTGTTGAGGCTTATCTGCACTCCACCCCCAGAATTCCACTGACTCTTACCGAAGCTCTGCCTTTGGGGAACATCTTTGGAGAACAAGTAGCTGACTTTTACAAAGTGCTGATTCCTGAGGGAGATGGTAGCCGGATGAAGGTTCAGGACCAGAGAAGCATTTGACTTTATTTTCCAAAATTTAATGGTCAAAACAATTGTTTCTAATTATAAAAGTTCTGCATATTGTTACTGTCTGCAAAGCCAAAATTAGACAATGCAAGGTGTCAAGAAAGTAGCAATCACCTGACAACCTAGAACCTTCATGTTTGTCCTTCCAGGTCTATACACATGACACACACATGGGCACGCATGACACACATGGACATAGAGTAAGCAGAAATGGGCCATACTCTTCATATTCCTTCTTGACCTGCTTTAACCTCTTTCTTCCTTCTTTCTGTCTTCTCCCATTTTATTGCCGTACGGAGCTCTGATAGCGTAGTGGTTACAAATCGGGCTGCGAACCTTAAGGTCAGCGGTTTGAAACTACCAGCCGCTCCGCGGGAGAAAGATGAGGCTTTCTACTCCCGTAAGGATTTACACCCTCAGAAACCCTGTACAGGGTCGCTATGGGTCGGAACCGACTCGACGGCACTTAACAACAACAACAACATGATGTCCGTAGCAGAAAACCCAGTAAAGTGCTTCTGTTACTGTTCTTGTTGCTAAGTGCCACCTAGTCAGTTCTGACTCACAGTGACCCTGAAGAGGATGTCTAAGGCTGTGAATCTTTTGCGGGAGCAGAAAGCTTCATCATTCTTCCGTGGAGTGACTGTTGGACCCAAACCGCTGACTTTGTGGTTAGCAGTCCAGTGTTTATCCTACGTGCCACCAAACTCCTGAAGTGTTTTGATTCTGTTCTTATTAATTCAATACTTTTTCTGTATTCTGAGCTGTGCGCTCATCAGCACGGTCCATCTTAGATCATTACCTTCACCTCAGAGAGAAATATGGATCCTCTATCTGTCTCCCTGTCTCACCCCAATGTTCCCCACTCCAGCTCTACCTACTTTCTGTCTCTGTAGATTCCCTGGTTCTGAACGCACTGTGCTCTCATTTCTTCTTGGAACTTTTTCTTTAAATTGAAATAATTTTAGATTTACACAAGAGTTGTAAAGACAGTTGAACAAGTTTCCATTCTCTCATTTTCCTCTAATATCAACATCTTCTGTAACTATGGGACGTTGATGAAAATGAAGAACTAGTCAGACACAAAAGGACAGATGTATGATCCCACGTATATGAAATATCTAGAACAGGCAAATACACAGAGACCAACAGTTATTAGTGGCTATCAGGAAAGGGTGAGAGGTGGCATGGGGGGTTCTTGATGAAGGGGTACTAAGTCTCTGTTAGGAGTCCCTGGCTGGCCAAAGGTTAAGGTGCTCAGTTCCTAACTGAACGTTTGGTGGACGTTCCTGTCATATGCTTATGGAAGGTCAGAGCCATGAAAATCCTATGGAAGGCAGTTCTCCTCTGAAACACCTGGGGTTGCCCTGAGTCAGAATCCACTGGTTTGGGTTTGTTTGTTTTTTAAGTTTCTACATTTGGAAACAGGTAGCCATAATGGTTGCACAACCTGGTTAATATCACTGAATTGTTTATATAAAAAAGAAGGAAAGGACAAATGTTTTATCTTTTTTTTATCGTAACACACACAAGACACTAAAAATAACCATGGGCACATCACTGCGACCTAAGCTACTAACTTGATTCAGAGCCAACAAGTTTTCCCACTGCTCCTGTTCTATCCCATGATGCCTTGTGGGACTACCATGCTTCTTGGTCTCCTTTTGGCCACTTTTTGGGATGTCACAGAGATGCTTCCGGGGTGAGCTGAGGTGAACTGTTCCTCTTTCCCAACAGGCTAGACACAACATCCATGACGCCATGAGCTGCTCCCAACCACATCCGAGAGTCCATCCTGTCCTCCCTCGTCACATCTTCCCAAGATCTGCACCCCCCCGCCCCAGCTGTCTTCCTTTCCTGGAAAACCTCAGAACCGGAAGCTCCTTCCTGCCTCACTCTGTCCTCTCAATTGATCCAGGACTTCATAGTCACACCTTTGGCTCCAAACTCTCTCCTGAGTTCCTCACCTATACGAGGGAGCTTCCAAAATTTTGGGGAGGAAATTCCATTATCTTTAAATTCCATTTTTCCATGAACTTTTTGAAGCTGCCTCGTAGATCCATCTGTTAACCCAATACCAAAGGACATAACAGTGAAGCACTTGGCTGCTGAAAAAAGGTGGTTTGTACCCACTGAAGTCATTGTGCAAGAGCAAGAGTCTGGTGATCTGCTTCTATCGAGATTACCAAACCGAAACCCAAACCAAACCTGTTGGTGTTGAGTTGATTCCAACTCACGGCAACCCTACAGGGCAGGATAGATATGCCCCCACAGGATTTGCAAGCCTGTCATCTTTACAGAACTAGACTGCTACTTCTGTCTTCGGAGGAGTGGCTGGTGGGTTCAAACCATTGACCTTTCAGTTAGCAGCTGAGCACTTAACCACTGCACCACCAGGGTTTTTGCTGTAGAGATTGTTATTGTTGTTAAGTGCCATGGATTCAGTTCTGAATTGTTGTTAGGCGCCATCAAGTCGGTACCGACTCAGCGACCCTATGCACAACAGAACGAAACCCTGCCCGGTCCTGGGCCAACCTCACAATCGCTGCTACGCCTGAGCCCACTGCTGCTGCCACTGTGCCAATCCAACTCGCTGGGGGGTCTTTCTCTTGTTCTCTGACCCTTCACTTTACCAAACATGATCTCCTTCTCCAGCGACTGGTCCCTCCTGATAATATGTCCGAAGTATGAAAGATGAAGTTTGACTCAGCGACCCTGTAAAGGATTTCTTTTCCAAGGAACAGCTGGTGAATTTGAACTGTGACTTTGTAGTTCGGTGCTTTATCCTACAGAGTCACACCAGGACTCTGTAAAGATTATAGCCTAGTAAACCTGACGGGGCCAGAAATTCTATTCTTTCACGTGGGGTCACTATGAGTCAAGCCCAACTTGATGGCGCCTAAAAACACCACTCAGTACTTGTAACACATGGCTGTCCCATAAGCATCTCTAACTCACAGCCCAAACCAAACACATCTTCTCCTCCTCAAACAGCCTCCCTCTGGTGTCTCCTCTTCTTCATAAATGGCACCCCGTCCATGTTGCTCAAGGCAGAAAACCAAGAACCCTCCATGAATCCTCGTGCCCTTCGTCTCTAATGTCCAATCACCAACTCCCCTCCTCCATGTTTCATAGCTCTACTTTACCACCTTAACGTCCCTCACTGATCCCGACCTTTTTAAAAACGATTTTCCAGGTGTGAGACATTGGGTAGGGGGACAACTCTAGTGACTGAGGATGAGAACTGCTGAAGTCCCTAACTTTCTGGGGAACACTGGGTTGGGGTGCCCGCTTTCCTATCAGGATAGCCTTGGGCAAATCTGTACCTCAATTTTCTTGTCTGTAAAATGGGTATACCCAAACATGTCAGGCAGGACTGCTGTAAGGAGGATCTGGGACCTAATGAGAATGTGTACGGTTCCCTGGGGCCCTGAGACGAAGACTGCAGTGAGTCTGGCTATGGGGGAAGGAGCCCACCTGAAGGTGTGGACACCATGGAGACAGTACCGGGCCAAGGTCAGCTGAACCCTCCCAGAAACCTTGACAGGCAGGTCCTCAGCCCCATGGGGGAGGATCCGGTGGGATGCGAGAGGTATAGTCTTTCCCATCCTCCCCTCTCTCTATCCTCAGTCCACCAGGCTCCTGTGTTTCACTCACTAAAACACAAACCAACCTATGGCCGAAGAGTCCATTCCAACTCCCAGTGACCCTTCAGGACAGAGGAGAACTGCCTCATAAGGTTCTGAGGCTGTAAATCTTTTCAGAAGCCGACTGCCTCATCTTTCTCCCAGAGAGCAGTTGGTGGGTTTGAACCACCAACCTTTCAGTTACAGCCCAAAGCTCAGCCCACAGGGCCACCGAGGCTTCACTCACATTTACTCTTCATGCTTAGGGCGCCCTGGTGATTTTGAGAATCATGGGGTTCACACACTTACAGCAATTTTCACCACAGCACACTGCCCATGAGACCCAGGGCACACAGATGCAAGAACATGAGCCAGCACCTAGCCAGAATCTTGAGGCATCCACCAAGAGAAGTGACCACATAGGTACCAATAGGCCCATCCCTCCATAACTGACCTACTGCTAAGGCACTTTCTGTCTCCTCTGCCCCCACAAGGGGCCTGAGTGCACCTCTGGGTACCCCCATCCCCTCCCTGATGCTTAGACTTTCCCCAAACCCCAGCATGGCAGCCAGCCTTCTGGCCTTCCACTCGGGCAGCTCCATGCCACCTGGGTGGGTGATGTCCCTCCTGCCACATCACACTGTCCTGGACTACACACAGTTAGGCGGAGGGAAGGGCTGGCCTGGCAGAGAAGTCTGGGAAGGGCGGAGCAGAAAGAAGGGAGAAGGGAAAAAGAACCTGAGGCTTGGGCCTCTGCTTCCTGAATGAATCCCCTACCCCCATTCTGGGGCATCAGTAAGGATGGAGAAAACAGTGCCGTCTGTCTTGGAAGTGGAGGCACCAAACCCAAAACCCATTGCCATCAACTTGACTCTGACTCATGATCACCTCAAGGGGCAGAGGATAACTGACCCATAGGGTCCCTTTATTGAAGCAGACTGCTGCATCTCACGGCCACCAGTCTGCGTTGGAGCAGCTGGTGGGTTCCAACGTCCCACCTTGTGGTTAGCAGCCAGCCCCCACCAAGTCCCACCCAGGTGCTGTAAAAAGACACAGAACCACCAACATCTTAAGAAGTCCTTCTTATTTATTTATTTCTTGTAGACTTTAAAGTTTCTATGGAAGTTGAGCTGTGCAAAAAAGTTTTCAGAAGCCCCAAGCCAAAATCTCCACCCTGAGGACCCCCACTCGCCCTGCTCCAGCTTCTCATATTATATGGCACTGCCCTCCCCGCCAGCCCCGCAGGCAGGGGACATGGGCTGGCCAGCCAAGGCCAGGTGACCCCTGCCCTCCGCTCTCATTCCATCTCCTCCGGAATCTCCTACCTGCGCAGCACTTGGACCTCCAGATCTTCCCCAGGAGCAAGATCATGGCCAGGAGGTGGCTCAAGTCGCCCAGGATTCGGAACACGTTCATGGTCACCCCAGTGGCCCCGCGGCCTCACCCAGCAAACTTCTAGGAAACTTTGTGGCAGGCCGGCGACTGCCCACGTCCCCGGAGCGTCTGGGTGCTCACAGGCCGCGCCCGCGTCTCCGAGCCCCGCGCGCTGCGCCCCCAGCGGGTTCCGCCAGCCAGCGCGCTCGGGCTGGCGGGTGACGTGGCCGGCCGGTCGCTGCAGGGTGGGGTGCCAGGAAGGCGCTGCAGAGAGACCCCGCCTCCAGCCTATCCCAGCCTTTCCAGTTCCCGGGGCGGAGCGGCCTGGTTCAGCAGAGAGGCTTCCGGCCGGTCCCGGCGCTGCTGTCCCGGCTCCTGCATGTCTGCCGCGTCCCGCGCTGTTGATGACCCTAGGCAGCGTAGGCCCAGGAGTCCAAGCCTCAGCCTACCCACGTCGGAAAACCAAGTCCTCCCTCTTTATGACTGGGGCAAGCCTCTCAGCCCCTGGCCTGCCTCTGACACCATATCTGTCCACTGCCAAGAGAGAAGTAGGGTCCTGGCTGCTCGGACTTGACATGAGACTAACAGGTGGTCAGCGCCCCATAAATGGCCGCTGTGATTGTCATCACCAGGAGTTCTGGCTACGCAGTGGTTAAGTTTTGGGTCAGAGTTTCAAGTCAAGATTTACAGCCTAGGGAACATTTGGAGCAAGTTCTACTCTCCCATAGGGTCACTCTGAGTCAGAATGGACAGACGGCAGCAAAGTATCGTCATCATCATCCTGGGACATCAATGCTCCCTCTTTGGATGGCGTGGGCTGGGCTGAAAAACTGGGAACTGTTCATTAAGATACCCACTTGGCCTGATCCCATCCTGCTGGGAGTGAACAATAGTAATGACATGTTTAATGTCAAGAACATCTGTAAAATGGGGTTGCTGTGAGTACAGGCATCCCTCCAAGATATCGCAAGCTCCATTCCAGACCACCACAGTAAACTGAGTATTGCAATAAAGCGAGTCACATGAGTATTTTTGTTTGCCAGTGCATGTAAACATTGTATTTGCACTATACAGTAACCTATTGTGCAAATTTGAAAGGTTGGGAGAATTACCAAATTGTGTCACAGAGACATGAAGTGAACACATGCTGTTGGCAAAATGGTGTTGATAGACTTGTTCCACGCAGAGTTGCTACAAACCTTCAGTTTGTAAAAAAACGCAATATATGAGAAGTTCAATACAACAAAGTAGAGGAAAACAAGGTGTGCCTATATGAACGAGTTTAGTTCTGTCAGGAGATCCAGGACCTGCATTAGCTCCTCCTTCTTCCCCAGAGGACTGCAGGGTGCTGGCCAGGGAGGCAGGGAGGGTGCTCTGATGGTGAAAACCCTCTAGTCCTTCAAATGCTATGTGACCTGGTGCACATTAGCCATCCTCTCTGGACCTTGTTTTCTGCATCTGTAAGAGCCTGGAGTCCTGGTGTGGCGCTGTGGGTTAATGCGCTGGGCTGCAAAGTTGGTTTGCTCTGCAAGGTCAGCGGTTCAAGCTCACCAGCTGCTCGTCAGAAACCATATACAGGGTCGCTATGAGTCAGAACCGATTTGACAGCACTTAACAACAAGAAGAGCCTGGGTGTGGTGCCATAAGATAATTACTTGACTGACCTCCAGGTCGGTTTGAACCGCAAGGTTGGCAGTTCAAACTCACCAACCACTCCTTGGAAACGCTATACTGGGTCACTTGGAGTTGGTTCAGACTCAGTGGCACTTAACAAGAGTGGATGGAATGGGCTGAGGGCTCTAACTGCTCTCCCCTCCTGGACCCCTGTAGCTCTTTCCCCACTTGGGTTTCTTATCTCTTCCAAAACATCTGGTCTCCTCCCATCACCCCACCCTGCCCCCATTCTGCCTTGGAGAGAGCCTTTTCAATGATAAAACCCTGTCCCTCTCCTGCTCCCCTCACAGTGACTCCAGAACAAGGCAGGCCTTTGAGATTGAAGACATGGTCTGCAGACCAGCAACACTGGTATCACCTGGAAGCCCGTTGGAAATGCAGACTCTCAGGCCCCACACCAGACTCACCCAATTAGAATCTGCACTGAAACAAGACTGCCAGTGAGTCGTGAGCACATGAAAGTTTGAGAGACACTAATTGAAACAACACTAAGAGAAAAACATGATTATTATTCCTGTGGCACAGAGAGGTTAAGTAATTTGCTTAAGGTCACAAAGCCCACAAAGTCATAGATCCTGGATTCCAACACATGGTCTGATTACAGCTCATGCTATTCAGTCCTTACACTGTGGGTTGCCATGGAAGGGGGTAAATGCCCCATCAAGTGAGGTAGGTCAGTAGGAGGTGAGTACCCATTTGTCAGAGATGCTGCAGTGGGCACTCCTGCCCTGGTAGAAAGTGGTTGTGGGGAGTTGGCTCTGACTCATAGCGACCCTGTACAGGGTTTCCGAGGCTGTAACTCTTTACAGGAGCAGAAAGTCTCCTCTTTCTCCTGAAACAGCTGGTAGTTTCGAACTGCTGACTGTGAGATTAGCAGCCCGATTCATAACCACTACGCTACCAGTAGGAAGTAGGGATAACAAAAGCCAGCAAGGTTTGATCACCTACTAGTGCCAACAGGCCCGGTGATGTAGGATTCCAGTCCCCACTTTGCAGGGGATTGATATTGATGCATGGCTCAGTGCTCTCTGGGAAGAGGAGGAGCCAGGCATTCAGCCCGGGACTCTGGCAGGTTCTGGACAGACCCCTCTGTTCCCTGCCCAGATGCCTCCCTCCCTCCTGTGCCCAGAGAAGGCGGTGGCTATATAAATCTCTCAGGTGTGGCTGCGGTTCTCTCTGCCCAACCAGCTGGCATCTCCTCTTCAGCGCCCACCTCCTCTCCAAGCCAGGAAAAAGCACGTGCATTTACCAGTTGGCAAAACATCTGTCCTCCTGGGAAGCAGCCCCAACTGCTAGCAGGGGCTGACACAGGGCTAGAATCTTCCCCTTCCCACTAGTTCTCCCCAGGAGCCCATGGAAGAACTGGCCAATTCTGGGAAGGCCTAAGGAATGACGACCATGCTGGTAGAAAGGGGCCCTGGAGCCTGGATTGATCTCCTCCCTGGGCCTCAAACTTCCCGTCTGATAAATGTTGAGGATGGTTAGACTTCATCTCTTATACTTTGGACATATTATCAGGAGGGACCAGTCCCTGGAGAAGGACATCATGCATGGTAAAGTAGAGGGACAGTGAGAAAGAGGAAGACCCCCAATGAGATGGATTGACACAGTGGCTGAACAATGGACTCAAATATATCTAGCAATGATTATGAGGGTGGCGCAGACCCAGGCCTTCTGTTGTAGAGTTGCGGAGTCACAACTGACTCGACGGCACCTAACAACTGCAAATGGAAATGATGATAGAAGTATTGCTGATGGTTCATGCCGTGCTCCTCAAGCTTCCCAAGGAGCCCTGGTGGTGTGGGTATTAAGCGTGTGACTGCTACAATTTAAATCCACCATCTACTCCATGGTTGTTGTTAAGTGGGGTAGAGTCAGTTTCACCTCAGAGCGACCCTGTATAGGGTTTATCTAGGAGCAGCCGGTGAGTTTAAACTGCCAACCTTGCAGTTCAAACCAACCTTGAGGTTGAGTGCAGCCTAGGAAACACTCTGGGGCAGTTATATAGTCTGTCCTGTAGGGTCGTCATGAATCAGATCTAATGTGTGCCATGAGTTTCTCATAATTCCCAATTTCCCCAAGAAACAAATACTGTTTTTGTTGTTGTTAAGTGCCATCAAGTTGGTTCTGACTCATAGTGACCCTGTTTAGTGTTTCCAAGGAGCGACTGGTGGGCCTTGCAGACCTCACAGTTAGTAGTCCAGTGCATACCCTACACCACCACACCAGTTGTAGTCTATCCTATAAAATCTCCATGAGTCAGAATCTACTCAACCACAAAGGATTACTCATACTTCCCAATCTTCCCATGAAACAAAAACAATTACCCCCATTTTACAGATGAGGAAACTGAGATTCCCCCAGGCTACACAGTGCTCCTCTCCCTAAAGTTCTCCCATTTTGTCCTTAGTAATGAGCCCTGCCTCATTCACAGTCCCCATCTGCAAGATGTGTGGACATTTTCCAAAGCACTACCATGAGGAGCAAGAAAGATGCCCTCCTCATTTACAACACTTGGAGGGAGCCCATGCCAATTCTCCCACCATCTACCCATCAGACACTACTTGTCTCTGATACTGGCTGGGTCCGGCAAGTCTGTAACCCTGCTGAGCCCCTCTCCCTTGACACCCCAGACCTGCCTGTCTGTCATAGGAATGCAGTTAGTGGGTTTCCATTTCTTGCTTTGCCCTCTTTTTGTTGTTGTTAAATGCTGTCAAGTCGGTTCTGACCCATAGCGATCCTGTATAGGGTTTCCGAGGAGCGACTGGTGAGCTTGAACTGCCGTCCTCTCAGTTCAAACAGCTTTGCAGTCTGGTGCATTAACCCACAGCGCCACACCAGCTTTGCCCACTAGGATGTTCAAAATCCAATTTATGGGGGCAGCTACTTAATTATAGAAAAAAGTACTTGTAATCTTTTTCCTTCCTGGTCCTAGTTCTTTATCACATCACAGTATTGAAGCTCCTGCAAACTACCTTCTGTGTTGTTGTTGTTAGGTGTCATCAAGTCGGTACCGACCCATAGCGGCCTTATGCACAGCAGAACGAAACACTGCCCGATCCCGGGCCAACCTCACTACTGTTGCCACTTTTGAGTTCATCGATGCTGCCACTTGGCCAATCCATCTCTTTGGGGGTCTTCCTCTTTTTCTCTGACCCTCCACCTTACCTTCTCCATGATATCCTTCTCCAGCGACTGGTCCCTCCTGACAACATGTGTGGAAGGGATATAATTCCACCACTTAATCGGCTGCCTTACACCAGGCACGCTCTTACAAGGAAGGGGGAGTCTTCGTTGCTTTCAGCCTGGATCTCCCTTCTGATCCTTAGAGGCCTCTATACCAATTCGGGCCTTTGCGAGTGGACGCCCTCTAGTGGAAGGTAGTGAACTGTTCCCAGGTAGCACTGAAGCCCAGTGGAGGAGTCCTTTCCCTAACGGAACAGGAGTGGACTGAGGTCAGTTCACTCTGGGACTTCGGAAAGTTCTTTTCTGGCTTAAAAAGTGACATGCGCATGTCCAGGGCAGGCCCTATAT